ATAAAGGTTTGCAGTTACTTCAAGAAAAGAAAAATGCCGTCTGGAATCACACCGTGGGGATCTGATGATGCAACGCTCATTACAAATAAAACAGAGAACACGGAAGAACCCACAGCAAACAGGGAGGTGAGTTTTCTTTATGCAATCCAGTATAAACCCACAGAACATAAAACACCACGGGAACCTCAAATTAAAGCTGAGCTTCAACTTTATGAGCTTTAAAAAGCTGAAACCGTCCTCGTCAAGGCAACCAATGAACTTCTTCAGTGTTGACGGACCCTCAACAGACACAGGTAAGGAAAGCCCTGAATCTGAATCTGAATCTATCAAAGTGAACATAAGGATAAGCTTTATTTGTCAGTTGCAGACAATATACAAACCTACACTGGGGAGAGGCTAGAAAAAGGGATAGAGAGTGAAATATGTAACATATGGGGGCAAAGTCAGGAGAAAAAAAGGGTTTCTGGCCATGATGACTTCCAACAAGTGAGTCATCATGAGGAGGAAACACAGGAAACTCCATAGCACACAAAGAAGCACAGATATCATCACACTATACGCCATGACAGACAAGCAACATAAAGGCGGGGGTACGCCGATGTACACAGTGGTCGCGGACGCTGCAAGCACAGTTACTGTAACAGCAACTGTGCAGCAACCAAGGTGTCTGTTTAGTGTTCGAGTGGGAGGAGCCAGACGTCTGAAAGCGACGTTAATAACTATAACCTGTTTACGTTCAGTTTTTTAATGTCGTGATGAGTTCAGACCTCTTTAGAGGGGGAGGGGCTTCAAAATAACTGCCCGGATTTGTTCAAGTTGCCAAGTTGGGAGATTTCCTTCCTCAAAGATTCCTGCGTCATAGACAGGAAATGTTCTTATATGGCGATGTCAGGTGCACAGAAGGCCTGCTGTTAAAACCTTCTGTTTGCAAGAGACAGCCAATCAGAGGAAAGCTGAGTTAAAGCTGCACATTAAATTGGACCTGTGTTATTTCCTGTCATATATCTGCTACTTTACGAGCGACAGCCAATCAGAAGGACAAAGGATGCCCTGTGTAAGATAAAGAAGGATTATTTTGAATGGTGACTCATGCTAAGCTGCTCTGATCAGCGTGATCATGAACCTGTCTGAGAGCTCGCCGCAGCAGCAGTGTTCCCGTCCCGCTGTAATACGGCAAACCTTTGCTCTCCGAATCGTTCCACCCACCTGGTTTCCGGCGTACTGGTCTTTTCTTTCCGCTGCAGAAGCGAACTTTGCTAAAGACGCTGAAGATGTGTCGCTCACACAGAGACCGCGGGTCTTTACTGGGACTTGAGCGTCGCTTGTTAGTGGCGACTTTGTCGCTGTTGGACTCACGGGCCTGGCGCTTCTGTCTAATCAGGGAGCTGGCGATAGCCGCGGCCATATCTCTGAGAGGAGGACGAAGCCACAGAGGAACAAAATATCTGCTCCTGCTGTCCGAGTCTGAGGCTGACGACCCCTCAGTCCAAAACAGGTGACATGTCGCCTGACGGGCCTCGGAGGGACCGAGTCTGGATGAAAAATCTGCTCCCTTATGGCAGATCGTTGATTAGGAACCAAAACGTTAGAGATCCGCTGTGAGGAACAGCCGATGCACAACGGTCACACGTACAGGCTTCAAAAGAAAAACACCAGCAGGATCCTGAAAATCCACAAAAGTGAAGAACCCGGAAGTCGTTTCACGTTCGTGCGATTCACCGCACAAAACCTGTGTGAACTCCGAGTATATGTTTACATGTTGAGGCTGCCTTTCTGATGACTAATCCAAAGAACGGTGATGAAGTCCCTCTCAAACGCACTCTTCAGCTGAGGGTTTGGAAATAGATCACCAATCCTGATGGAGCTCTGAAAGACGGAAACTTTAAATATCCAGAGAAGAACGGATACCTGTTCCCTGAATAACCCTACAGGTTCCCACACAAGTTAAGATGCAGCACTGGCCTGGAGACGATTAATAAAGGAATAAAGAAAAACTCTGAATTAACATCTGTTGAGTGATTACGCCTCGATCGAAGAGCTCATCGTGTCTGCTGGGTAATTTATCACTTTAGGTCGCCTCCATCTTCCAGACGCTCCGATGGAAGCGCACATGGCAGCAGGGATTTTCTCGATTTACGCGCCACAAACAGAAGAATCAAAGAGCTTCACCGTGACGTTTCCTCACATCTCTGTGGAGCGAGAGGAAAGCATCTTCATCCTCCCGCCTACATCAGCTCGTCAACAACTTCCCGACATGCAGAAAAAGAGGAACAAACCCGAGAAGTTCAGAATTATCCCAGAGAAGAGCCGATAAAGCCGCCGATTCCACATGCACTCCGCTCTGCTCTATTTTACTCTACTCTGTTCTCCTGCCTCATCCTCTCCTCCTCCTCCTCCTCTTCCTCGCAGGCTGAGAGCTGCTGAATGTGAAGAGAGAGGAGCGAGGAGAAAAGAGAGCAGCCGTCAGCGAGAGATCGAGGAGAGAGAGAGATGGAGAGAGGAGAGGTGGAGGTGTGGAAGAAGCTCCTAAAAATATTCCGCCTGATGTTTCATGTTGCTCCCACATCAGACCACTCCATCTTCACTGCAGCATCCCGACGCACACGAGCGCGTTACAGGACTGGTTACTACAGAACAACATCAGCATCGAGGCGCCCCGCTGTCGGAGTCGTGCATGTTAGAGGAAAAAAACCTTTCGTTTCACTTTAATCTTCAAACCAGATCATCACAAATTACAGCCAACCGCTGGCTTCTGCACTGAGCGCAAACATTTTGTTTGTTTGGACCCAAAAGCGACCAGATCTGGACACGAGCGTGGTTAGAAGACCTCATTTAGGCTCTGATCCATTTTAAAATGAGGATTTTCTGCTTTTGTTTTGAAAATATATCTACAGGAAAGGCAAAAGCAGCTGGCGATAAAAAACCTCTTGCAAACAACACGGCGCTGTCTGATATCATCTTCTCTGCATATTTGAGATTGCAGCACAAAATAAGCGTTTGCCTCGTCTGCGCACAAACATGTTCTGGAGAGCATCAGCATGAAAACAACTTCAAAAGCTACGTTTTCACTGACCTGATTGAAAAATAAAACGACTGAATTTTAGGATTTTGGGGTTGTTTTTGTAGCAGGACACAGTTTGAGAAAATTCAAAAACAGTAATTATTACAGAATTATTAGCAACAAGCACACTTCTCTAGAAAAT